AGAGACATCACCCTGCCAACAAAAGTGCGTATAGTCAAGGCCATGGTTTTCCCAGTTGCAATGCATGGCTGTGAAAGTTGGACCATAAGAAAGGCTGAGCGCCAAAGAATTGAGGCCTTTGAACTATGGTGCTGGAGAAGATTCCTGCGAGTCCCTTGGACTGCAAGGCAGTGAGCAGAGTCAGCCTGCAATACTGCATTCTAACTACTGTGCCACCATGGCTCCCTTATATAACGAGCCTGGAGAATTCTGTTGGTTGAACTTGATGTAAAGTCATTTAATAATATAACATGTAAAGGATTATTTAAGAATTATGATACCACATTGTTTCAAGACTGTGAGAATAAGGAAGAAAGTTGGCAAGGAAGATTATATGTAATCATGTTGTGTTAAACAGCTCTGGAGAAGACAGCAATGTCCCCATTCAACAACACAACATATAACCTGGTGACTAAGGAAAAGCTGATAATCCATTCTAAGCAGAACAGTCTTTGAGTTAATTTTATCTACAACAAATGTTTATTATAAAAATCTCAATAGATTCTGTCATTCGAAGTACCAACTGGTTGAATTGATCGTTAATAACACAATCAGCTAGTTTAGAACTATTGGAAGTAGGAGATAAATGCAAATCAAAATTATTTTTTACTTTCTTGGGGGGAAAAGTGGGGTTTGGGGCAAAGGATTGCTTGTATTTCAACAGCAATAAGGTGAATTTAGCAGCATGAGACGCATAAGTAGAGTGCCTAATTTAATCCATGTCAAGTAGAATACTATGCCTGCATTCACATTCGTAAGTGCTGTGAATTGTGAAGAGCATTAGTCTATCCCACGCGCATGAGACTATCAGATGTGTCTCCCTTGCTGACATGGATGCCAGGGCTTCAATTTCTATTGAAGATAGTTGCTATCTGCATTGGTTACAAGAGAAACAATTGGGAGGAAGCAGAATCATCCTGTGGGAAACAGGGAAATTGTCTAGAAGGAAAAAAATAGTCATGACGTATAATCATGAACTGAATGGATTTGCAGCTCAATTACCTCTCCTGAGAAAACTAGTCCTTCAGTTCAGCAGACGTGCAAATGTGCCTCATTTTTTGCTAAAGCCTCATTTCTCCCAGGTCTAGTATGGTATCACAATCTCCAGTCCTGTATCTGCTATAAATGTTAGTGTCCTTGCCAGACAGAAAGTGTGTGTCTGAATTTTTCACATCTTCTCAACGTAAAATAGTCTCCGGTAAAATTTTAATTGGCAATATTTTTAGCAGATGAAAATATTGATGTATAAGCCATTAATTTTACAAGGAAATGGAACAATGTAGGCATCCTACAAACCTAATTACCTTCATAAATTACATTTCTGACAGTTGTATGGTCAAGAAAGGGGAAAATGTTCTAATTTAGCTTTTTGTGATCAAGATCCATCTTCCTGTAATCTTGGTACCCAATTGTTCTCTATTAATGATTTCTTGAGAAGAAAGAATGTCTATTCTATATTTAAGTATGAGCGTTCCTACTGCTGTATCTAGCAGAGGGAGTAAACTGTCTGGGAAAATTGTATTTTAGCATTTTAAGCTGATCTACATGATAAATTTTCCTTAAAGACAAAATATTCTTATGTGAAGTCTATAAGAGATATGGGTACATTTCTATTTTTATTTTGTTATGATATATTCCACAGTGTTTCCAAAAATAAGGATGTCATTCCCAAATGCCTATTCAGCCTTCTTTAAAGTATAGCAGTGTCTTCCAGATGGCTAATGATTAGAGTTTCAGTCAAGCATTTCTGAATGGTATGAAGAAAACTTGTCTTACATGAATCCTACATCTGTTCTATGCAGCCCTTTAGTGAGTTCAGGACTCACTGGAGAAGAGTCTAATGCTGAGGGCAATAGAAGAATGGGACAACAGAGAATGAGGTGGCTGGATGGAGTCACTGAAGCAGTAGGCGTGAGCTTAAATGGACTCCAGAAGGTGGTAGAGGACAGGAAGGCCTGGAGTAACGTTGTCCATGGGGTCGCGATGGGTCGGACACGACTTTGCAACTAACAACAACAACAACAAAATGTGAGGCAGTCCCACTTTAGGGTAGAGGTTGAAGGGAGAAAAAAATAGGAAAAATACAGGCTCATTCATGCCTGATGTTGGCAATCAGATTTGAAGCTAATGAAATGTTTTGCTTTTTAGCAAGACAAGGAAAGAGCAGACTAGCTTCCTCAGCCATAACTATGTGACATGTGGCATTCCTGTTAACAGCAAGGAGACAATAATGGTTAGTTTTAAGTATACTGTCAGAGTTTGGCTAGCCAATATGCCACAAACTTAATAGTTAGCACGGTTCACAAGACCATGGAGGAGAATTTAAGTGGAGATAGTTGACTTATCTGATCTACTTCTGGAATAGCCAATTTCTGATTTCCATGATATTTTAAAAGGAGCCATTTCCTTCTGCTGTTACTATTCTCAAAACTATATAAATTTGGATCTGACGCTAAAGGCACAAAGATGACAGTCGATTTCTCCAAGCTATTGCTTAGTTGCTGGGACTTCTGTAACCAAATACTTTGTAGTGTTTTGTTTACAACTTAGTACTGAGGCTGTTCCATGGATGAAGAAACATTTTCTATGGATTTTTTGAAAATGATTTATTAGAATAGACTTGTAGCACCAGTTGTCCTCAGGTCATGGAAAATGATGCATGCTTTATTTGTGTTAAAATCAGCGTTTGAAAGTTAGTGCTCTGGTGATTTCAAGGTAGTGGCATTCACTTGGTTGTATTATGTATCGAAATAGTAGGCAGCCTCTTTATAGCCAATTAACATATTTGAGGAGGTTGAGAGCCACAATATCAATGGATCAGTATCCTGATATCCCTGATCAGGGTTTGGTTTTCTAAGGGTTTTAAGGGTTTTTGTTTGTTTATTTTAACTTGTGATCTGCCTATTTCTAGGTTTATGTGAGTTTTTATTCCTGTCTTACTTGAAATGGCATGGAAATATATCATTGTTGTTCATTGGTATGTCACAGGGAGCCTCTGAGGGCATTACTTTAAATTCTCTGGATTTAACTCTTCCAAGAAAAATACTTGTAGAATTGATTGCTTCCATCAAGCATTTGGGAAAGTGGCCCAATTATTTTTATAACATGGCTTTAGGCAGCTCTAATTTTACATATGTTGGCAGCCATTTGAGACATATTTCTGTGTCTAGAATGTAGACCGTATGGCATTCTAAGAAGTTTTCTCACTATAATATTGTGCCCTGTTCATAAAACTGTCTTGGGAAGTTTTGGTTTGGGAAGTTTTGTTACTAAGTTGAATTTTTAAAATGCGAGTCTTCTAATATAAATCTTGTCTTTTACGGTATGTTGTGACTGTTTGTTGTATTAGAAAATGCTGTATACTGAACTGCATTAGAATATCTGCAGGAGATGAAATTGTAACAATTTAGATTTGAGAGAGAAAAAAATAACACATGAGGGCTTGGAGTCTTGATAATGCCATTCTGTTTTTGTTTTCTTGCATACTCTGCTGTGTCTTTTCAAAATATTCTTCATCTGCCACAGGTTAATTAATAAATCACCATGAGTGAGTTTGAAAACAGGAATCTGCCTTTCTTTATCGAATTAGGCCATTGATCCATCTGGTATGTCCTGTAGTGTCTGTAATGCAAGATAGGCAACTAACGCTCTCCAAGTGTTCTAGCCTTAGCAGGGTGATCAAATGGTCAAGAATTAGAGGAATTGAACTTTAAAACACCTGAAGGGCACTCATTTATGTTTTTTTTTTACATCAGAGGTGTTTTCCAGAGATTGTTTTACCTCTCTGTTTGGTTTCATCTCACTTCTCACAGTCTGAACAGAATACAGACAAAGATTTCTACTTCCCTCTGAATTCTATTAACATTTATCAAGCTTACTGTGAGATTTTTAAAAAGTAGCAATATTTTTATTTCTTTATTTTTTTCAGTTTATGTAGCTGCCCATCTCAAATAGATGACTCTGGGTGGCTCACAATAGTGGTGTGGTGAAAAAAAGCTCTTGACCAAGATATTTCAATATAGGTAGTCCTCGACTTACGACCACAATTGAGCCCAAAATTGCTGTTGTTAAGTAAGATAGTTGCCCCATTTTATGACATTTCTTGCCACAGTTGTTAAGTGAATCACTGCAATTGTTAAGTTAGTAACCCAGTTGTTAAATGAGTCTGGTTTCCTGATCAGGAGGTTACAAAAGGTGATCACATGACCCCGGGACACAGCAACTGTCATAAATATGAACCAGTTGCCAAGCATCTGAATTTTGATCACGTGACCCTGGGGATGCTGCAAAAATTGTAACTGTGAAAAATGGTCATAAGTCAGTTTTTTCAGTGCTGTTGAAACTTTGAACGGTCACTAAATGATCTGTTGTAAGTCAAGGACTATCTGTATATCAAGGTCATTGTGAACTGTGTCATGGTGGATGTTTTTACTTAATTTCTTCTCTTTTTGTCACCGGCTATGCTGGTGAATCAGGAAGAACACACACAATTTGACATCCATTTGCACACATGCTGTTGAACATTCCCACAAATCTGTCATACTGAAGGGGAGGAAAATTAAAGCTATCCATCCCTTCTCTTACTAAGATTGAAAAAATAATCTGGTCATTGCAAGGTGCAGCAAGCATAGATTTGCACAATATAGAAATCAGAGAAATTGCCCAAGGCTTTGGAGAAATTGAGCCTTTCCTGTTTCTGCATGAAGAGGCATTGTTTCTACAAGGACTCTAAACATGAAATCTTTCAAGAAATTAAAAACAGCAGATTCAACATCAATCACTTAGAAAGTCTTTCTGGCGGAGTTTGTGTTTCTGAAAAGCTCTACCAAACACCAGGTGGCTAAGGTTATATTTGTTTGTCTGCAATATTGATGTCTTTTTAATGTAAAAAAATTCATTTATTATTCTGTGGCTATGTTAACTGTGTCTCTCACACACAACCTTTTTTTTTTGTCTTAAAGATGCAAATGTTGGACAAATTTCCAATGGAAGGAGGACAAAAGGACCCTAAACAAAGGATAATTCCCTTTTTGCCAGGTTTGTAAGGTGAACAGTATAGTTTTCAAATGAAATATTTTATATATTCTTTTTATCTGTGTCTATCTAACTGTTTGTCTGTCTGTCATCTGTTTACTTATCCATCCATCCATCAATCTTCTCTCTCATTCTCTTTATCAATCAATCAATCTATTATCGATTAATGTGGCTCTTTAATTCTTTAATTCTCCACTTTTCAGTAACAGTAACAGAGTTGGGAGGGACCTTGGAGGTCGTTCTGCTCATGCAGGAGACCTTTACTATTTCTGACAAATGGCTGTCCAGTCTCTTCTTAAAAGCCTCCAGTAATGGGGCATCCACAACTTCCAAAGTTCCACTAGTTGATTGTTCTCACTGTTAGGAATTTTCTCATTTCAGATATATTGACTACAAGTTCTGACTTCTCCATCAGACTTGGCCAAATAGTCATGTTAACTAATGATAACACATTTAGACATTTGAATGGAGATTTGCGATTAGGCTACTTCCAACATAGGGTTTGTGTTCCTAGGATCCGCTGCAGGGCTTTTCACTGCTTTGGTCTTATTTGATCCTAATTATTTATGTTGATTTCAGTATGATTCTGGCCTGAATTTCAAATAGAAATGACATTAGACAACCTGGGAAATGATATATGCTGAGCAATGTATCATAGAATTTAGTTAGAAGATATTTGGCTTAGGGTGACATCAGTATGTGGATGATACATAGCTCCATTTTTCTATCTGAACAGGCAGTTTTACAATGGATGAGAGAAAACAAGTTGGAAAAAAATCCAGATAAGATTAAACAACTATGGATTATTGTTTTAGATCTGATTTTAGTTGGGACAATATGCTTTATAAAGATCAGATACTTGATCTGGGTATTCTGTTATATTTCCTGTACAAGAATAAATAGGATAATCTGTGCATTGCCAGTGCCAGTTAGACAGATCCAATTACATGTACTCTGGTTAGGGATTACTATTAAAATACATTGCATTTTAAAGCTTTTAAAGATGCTTTAGAAATTCCAGCTAGAACAAAATGCATGTCCTAAGCTAGATATTCAGAACAAATCACATCAGTACTGAACTGTCTCTCTTTGGGGTCTATGAAAATTCATCACGGCCAATTTGCTGTGGCCAACTCACTGAGGACAATTTACCGTGGGACAACTCACCATGGCCAAGTCATTGCAGGACAGCTCACTGCGGGTCAAGAGTTACACTAATATCAAAGAAATGGTGGAATAGAATCATTAAAGAAAGGATGCAAAAGGAGGGGCCAAATGAAATGTGAATGACAAAAATTAAAATAGTTTTTTTTTAAAATTTATTTTAAATAATTAAATAGAATTGTTAAATTGTCCCACAGCAAGCTGGCCATGGCGAGTTATCCCGTGGCAAGTTGGCCATGGCGAATTGGCTGTGGCGAGTTGTCCCATTCCATTCCGTTTGTTGCCTTTTTTGATTCTACATTGTGTAATTTTCAGAAGGCCATCTTGGGACTGTGCAGTATAGTATGTCAGATTTCCAACTGAACGTGGTAATGGAAGAAGAGCTCAAGATAGGTGGGAGATCTTTAAAATGGTAGTATTAAAAGTACAAAAGAAAAAAAAAGACAAGTACAGTAGGAGAAGCTGTTTGTCTCTACAGAAACTTAGTGAATATCTGAAAAAAAGAAAAAAAACCCCACACATAATGGAAATATAAAGAGAATTGGGGGGGAAAAAAGAGTATAGACAAATATTTTTAGAACTGTAGATCTAGTGCCAAGACAACATTCAGAATCAGTTAGGATGAGCAAAAAGATTGTTTGATTGATTTATTATGAGTCATCAAGTCATTTTTGCCACATATCTTGATTTTTTTTCAAAGGGATTGAAGCAAGTTCAGAGAAGGGCAATGGGGATCTGGGTTCTGGAAGCTAAATCCAGAGGGATTGAAGGAAATGGGAACATTTACCATTGAGAAGAGATTGAGACTGAGGGTATTCCTAAATATTTCAAAGAATGTCACAGTGAAGAAATTTGAGAGTGTACAACATGGAATAATAGATTTAAATACCAGATGGCAGATACTGATTTACCATTAGCTAAACCTTCTAATGGTAAGACTAATGTATCTTTGACTTGTCTCATATTTCCAAATAAACTGTAGACAGCTGGGGTAGATTAATTTGGATTTCTGCACTGAATAGGGATATGGACCCCATGGCTTGTATGTCACCTTCTAATCCTATGATTCTCTTTTAAAGTTACAAATATACTTGTTCTGAACCATTGACTCTTTTGATTTAGATTGATGGAAGTTGCGTATTTGGAAGAATCAAGGCTGGGAAGGGTGGCTGTAAAATTTGGATTCTGTTAGGCAACTTAGCATCCCAAATTTCAAATTGTTATTTTTTCCCAACTCTCCATTGCTTCAATATAGTATCACAGATTTCCAAATAGCCTTGTGCTGTTTTAATGTGTTTCTATTTTGGCTGTATAATTGTTCCCATTAAAACATTCCATTATGCAACTATGCTTTTCCTCAGATATGGGCAGAATTGCAACTTAGTAACCATCATGGTTATTTCAGGAGTTGCATTCTGATTCCAGCTGTTCCCTGGATTGTGGTAGCAGCAAAGCAAGACTCACTCTGGCATGAATGCAGAGAAAAAGAGCATGCTGTGCAGTTTTCCATGCCAGCAGAACGAAATAGGAGAGATATAACATCAGACCCAGCTGGCCAGCATCTCCAGTTTGAACAAATAGAAATTACAGTTTGCGTATATTCTGTTTCTGAAGCGTTGTAACCTATTTTTGGACAGCTCGGGGAAATTTGTTTCCAAAAAGGTTACGGCAATGGTACATTTTGCTTGCTCAGTGTCTTCATTCCTTTTGGAAGCTTGGAAATTTTCCTTTTTGTGGAATTGATAGTGATGTTCTCCAAGTGTGGGCTCCTAACAGAGTTTTGGGAATTCCATAAAAATAATCACAAATGAGGAATTCAATATACAAATCTCTGATTCCATAAAATCCTAGCAGTGGAATGGACTGATCAGCCCTTTCCCTCATTAAAAAAATCCAGTTTGAATCATTCTTGAAAGCTGGTGTCTGCAATTGTCTGAATGCATCCCTCAGGAAGCCATCAAACTGCTTATACTGTATAGTGCAGCGGTTCTCAGCCTATGGGTCGCGACCCCATTTGGGGTCGATCGACCATTTCACGGCGGTCGCCAAGCAAGGCTGTCCGCCATTTTTTCCCCTTTTCCGGCGGGTGCCTTACCTCCCTTGGGCTGGGCCAGCTGGTGTCGGCCTGCTCCGTCTCTGCCGCTTGCCAGCTACGCCTCGGCCGGCACAGGGGGCGGAACCACGCATGCGCGGTGCTCCCGGGCAGGGAAAGTCCTTGACTTATGACCGGTTTAGTCCTCGACTTACGACCGGTTTAGTCCTCGACTTATGACCGGTTGGGGGTCGCGGCATTAAAAAGGTTGAGAACCACTGATATAGTGTTTCTCCACCTTAGCAACTTTAAGATATATGGATATCAATTCTCAGAATTCCCCAGACAGCATGCTATCTGGGAGCTGAGATTGAGAAACACTTGGCTATTAGGAAACTTTTGTCTGATGTTCAACCAGAACCTGTTGAATTTCTTCTAGCTTAAATGTTAGAATTGAAGAAGTGTTACCAGCTTCTCTGGCTAAGGATTGTTTTGTACCTCTGGGAGATCTTTCTTGGCCAAGCAAAGCTTTTACAGGCTGAGATTTATAAATGGTTGGAAATAATCAGACATTCTGTGCTTGGCAATTTTGCAAGGGCAGAATGAGGTAGGTCTGCAGTTCCCTTGAATCTTCCCTTGTTCATCCACTGGAACAAGTTCTCTCATTTCAAACCCCCGAGGCAGGAACCAGAGTTTTCTGTATCAGCTGTCACTTATGACTCTTTCTAAATAAAATGTGAAGGAAGAGGGAATAGCTTTCGTGTTTGGGTGCGTAGATGTGTTTGTATATGTATTTTGGGAAAGATAAAAAGTTGATTTTACAATAGAGAACTTAGGCTTGTTGGCATTCCAACATTTTCCAGTTATCACCCTTCTTATTCTTCCCTTCTGTGCAGTTTTTCTTTTAATAATCCCATACCAACCCTTGAATTTCAGTACTAGTGTGGGAATTTGGCTCTTGCTTTATAATTCAAACATGCAGCTTTCTGGGAAGCCCTCCTTGGTAATATTATACATTGTGGTTCCTGACATCTGAAAAATGTTTCCAGTTATCCTGTCTACCCAGCTGCCTCTAGCTTTTTATTTTTCCCCCGAATCTCTAACACAGTTAGATTTGAGCTCTTTGATAGGAAACGAAATAGTCGATCAGCAGCTCTTTTCTTATCTAAAGAAGGTATTTTAATACAATAAACATTTAAAATTATGTTTTAAAGGATAGGCTGCAATGCTTTTGCTATGATTACTTCATGTTATTGTTTGAACATGAAAGAAATATAAGGAATTGGGCAGAAACTGGGAAAGGTACAAAAATGAACACAAGATAACTGAGCTTACAAAGTTAACTATAGAGAAGAAAATAATGCTTTAGATTTTTTTATTAAAAATATATATCACTTGATTGCCAATCCATGGTTTAGTTACAAAAACACTATTTCTAAGTTTACAGAATTGTTCCTAACTTCTCTTCATGTTTATTTTATTATATTCTTGGTACTTGGATCGTAGATCCTGTATTAATCACCATCATCTCTGCTTTCCATTGTAAAATAATTCCACAAGAAGGAAAATTTCCAAGCTTCCCAAAAGGAAAGAAGGCACTGAGCAAGCAAGTTTAATTAAATCATGTTAGCTATTTTATATATAGTGGGTACCTGTAATTTAATTTCCATTGAATAAGATGGTAATCCATAATAGTATATGATAAATGAGAAGACATTAAGCACCAATGACCTGTAACAGCTGATTACTTTTTCATTAAGCCATTAATTCTATACCTCAGATAAGAAAACTGAGGTTTAAACAGTTG